CTACAAGATGGCTCACAAACAAGCTTCAATAAAGTTTATTACAGTATCGACAAAGGCAAGCTTTCACATGTTGTTCTTCCACCCTCAAGCAAAGGAGCCGACTCCTTCACCTTCCACCTAATTGTGTGCAGAGGTTCTGACTGACTTGCAGAGCACCTGTCCCTGCTCCCCCAAAGGCCAAATTAAGGAGTAGATTAGATAATGCCCAGGACAGGTAGCCAGGGCTTCCCCTGTCACATTGTTCTTTTGCCAGACAGCTGACTTGGGACTTGAGAGAATTGCCCTCCTCCCTTGCCAATGCCACTCCCCCTGCTCCCATACACAAATTTCTTCACTCGTCCAAAATATTAGGCTGCTCTGATCATGGGCAAGAAGTAAAACACTTGTACTAAAATTCCCTTTTCTATATTAATTCAAGTGACACTTTCTCTGCATTCAATTTGTCGGACCTCTTCACGTTTTAGACTGGTTGAACAAGATTCCTGAATTAGCAGTTTAACCGCTGCAATTTAGTTTTCACACACTGTATTTGATGATGAATTACTTTGGTGGCAATAAATTTGATGACTAGCGGTTTAATCCCGTACATGTCTACTCAAACTTGAATCGTATTGACTTCAGAGGGGCTTTGAAAAAGAAAGGAATATTTAAGCTCCACCCTTCAATGGATTACTAGGTGGTCTAGGTAAATAGATACAGGATTGCAGCCTAAGGCAGTCGCTGCAGCAATCAGCTAAAGTAGCATATTATACTCAGGGGCAAGAGGAGTAATTCTTTAGAGTTACAAACTTGCTTGCATTGTTGCACATTAATCTTCTATCTAAGGTTTAATGAAATTCAGTTCTGCACAAGGTGAGGAAGCCTCTCTTCACATTACGTAAACATGAATCAGCTAGTATAAAAAAAATCAGCCAGCAATGTATGAATACATTAAAGAAAGATTCTAGAATATGGGGTGTGTTTATTCCACCTGTTTGTGGGATGGATAGTTGTGATACAGTCACATTCACCTTTGGTCAGTGAGGTGAAAGTGTCCATGGATAGATATGGCATAAATGTGACCTTCCTACTTGTGATTTCTGTTGGTTCAATTCTAATTGCTTCAGGGCCAGACCAAGACATTTTGGACTCCAAGATGACAGACCCTCCAAGTGTCCCTATTTTTCAGGGACAGTCCCAGATTTACAGAAGCCATCTCAGTTTCCAATTTGATCCCAGAATGTCTCGCTTTCCCTTAGGATGTCCCTATTTTCATTGGAGAAATGGAGTTATGTGACCCCTGAGCCAAGGAGATAAGTAACTATACAACCTTTAGAAGACATCTAAAGGTAGCCCTGTATAGAGAAGTTTTTAAATGTTTTAAAGTTTTACTGTGTTTTTATATACATTGGAAACCACCCAGAGTGGCTAGGGCAAGCCAGTCAGATGGACGGGGTCTAGGGGGGCCACCAGGTGGCGCATTGGAAGATGGCCGACAATAACATCTCTCCGACCCACACGAGGTAATTAAGAGGCTGCTATGGGAAGTATGCAGCCTTCCCGCCCCCCCAAGGAGATGGGGGGGGACTGCCTTGCCAGTGGTGTCCATAATGCACCCCCGGATTCGAAAGAAGGGGGTGCCCGGTCACTTGGTACAAGCCCTCGGTGAAGTCGGCTCTTCCTGATGCTGTCTCCAATCAGCGCCTGGGTTCGCTTTAGCTTGAAAATATAATTGGAAACATATAATTGGAAAGAAGCTAAAGCACATACATCAAGCGAAGTTCGGGAGATAAGACTGCTGATTAATGGATCTCTGTGACCGGAGCGACGGATGGGACAAATAAATCAAGTGATGAATCACCATTAAGAGACTGGTATGTTTGGAGTGAAACGGAAGGGGGGTGGAGGAAAAAACTTTTCTTTTCTTTGCCTTATGTGAGTATTAATAACCCTCCACCCCAGAAAGAAGATTGTTGCATTTTATTAATCACAAGCAGGAATTCAAGAACTGTGTGGAGTGAATTATTGATCAAAGAGAGGATTGGTAAACATTGGAGAACATAGGAAAGTTTTTATGACGCAGTTTTAAATGGCGTCTCGCTAAGACAGGCTTGTCTAAGAAAGACAGGGGGCGGAGGACCAGGATCATCGGAATGTGAATGATGATTGGAATGTGATCTAAACCTGGCAGAGCCCTTTGTGATATACTTGGCAAGCCTGGGAAAATTAAAGGACAGACCGAGGATAAATTATTTACGGAAGTGTGGAATGGCGTCTGTCCCTATGTGATATGATTTTTGGGAGAGTCTAAAACCCACACAGAGGATGTTTGTTTCCAACCCGCTTGTGAAGATTATCAGAGATCGCAAAGAAAGGAATATATGATAACAACAAGAAGATGAAGAAAGTAATAAAGAGACTATCTGGACAGAACTGGATAGAATTGTCTGATTAAAGCAGCAATATATGTGATGCTTGGACCCCCGTTCGGAGCTTGAAGTATGGGTACCCCCAACAAAATTTAAAAATCTGGCTGTATAATTTGGAATTAATGTGATTTGGAAATAATGTGATTTGATTGGCCTGCTAATAAAAATTATTTTAAAAAAACAACAGATGGACGGGGTCTAAATGTTGTCACTAAATGTTGAATAGGATGTCCCTATTTCTATCAGATAAACATTGGAGGGTATAAGGTGAGGGGCAACTGACTGGGGTGCCATGAAAGGGAAGCAAACTGTTGGCTATTTAGCTTATTACCATTGCCATGTTGATGCCGGGGTGGGGGTGGGGCAGGGGTAGAAGAGGCACTTGTGGTATTTTCAACCACAGATGTCTAAATAACTTGCCTTGCCATCACTACTGTTGCTGGGGAAGCTATTTCCTGTTGCACCTCAAGTAGTGAAATGCTGTAGTCTGACCCTGCTGATGGAGATCACTCACGCAGGGGACTTTCCAGGGAATACTTTCCTGAGGTACCCCAATCTCTCAGTCCTGCCAAGGGCTGCTTGCTGGTGTGTGTCTGTTTTAAGGCTGTTCAGAAGTGGGTCAAATGTTAAAAGTTTGTTTAGAAGATGAAAGGAAACATGTTGCTTACATGCTAAGGGACAAGCAACTTTAAATCATATAAATCCATATTAAGACTTATGCAAATGTAATCTGCAGTGGAAAGCACTGTTATTAATGTCTTGTTTTAATTATTTCTCTGCTTTACCATATTTGCTGTTGCTACATTAAGCCAACTCCCATATATTGTGTAAAAGACCCACTGCACTATTCTTTTAAAGCTGATATCTATTTATTTATTTTCCAGGATTGTATCGGGTAAGAAGGGGCAGGGAATGGATGCTAGCAAAACTTTAAGCTGCATTTAAAGAGTAGTTCCACACATTTTATCAATCACTAGGGGGCTCCAGTTGCTTACTTCTTACAACATAGCTGATGTTATCAGGTATCAGAGTAGACCAATGTTCTTTTTTAAAAAGAGTATTCTTATTATTTTTTTGAAAACAATTTTTCATCACATACAAAACAACATAGCTCCAAACATAACAACCACAATATTTTAGAAGATCAGATCACATTGCTGTAGTTTAGAGGCTAGACCAAGGTTGCTTCTACACTGTTTTAAATCTTATGTAATCACTCACTGTATGCCATTTTTAAACTAACTCTGAAGGCACTGGTACGTGCATCATTATGCTTAGAGGATATCCTGGAAGAAATGCACTTTGCATTTTCAAATCTGAGGAGGGAAAGTAACCCTCTTTCTTAAGCCTGTTTAGAAATTGGGGTTGCCAACCTTTGAGGGCCTGTGAGCCAACTTTGCAATTCTAGAGTGTCATGCTGCTTCTTGCCCCCTCCCCCAGAGCTGTCTCCCCCATCACCACTAGGCAGAATAAGAAAACACACACATGCACACTTCATTTCCCCAAAGAATCTGAGTAAAAGTTGGATACAGAATAATTAGAACAGCTCATTTTGAATTCACATTGTGTTGCAAGGAGTCCTCACTCAAACCACCATCAGATTAAAGCTTTCAGTGGCAGACTGCACAGTAAAAATCACAGATCTCGGACACGTGTCCGAGAAAAAGATAGGAAGCCATTTTATACCAAATAAGACCAATGGCCTATCCAGCTGTCTACACTGTTGTCTACACTACACATTGTCTACACTGACTGGCTGTGCCTCTCCAGGATCTCAGACAGAGTCTTTCCCAGCCCTAACCTGGAGATAAAGGAGGTTGAACCCAGTACATTTTGCATGTGCTTCACCACTGAGTGATGGCCTTTCCCCAAGACAGGGAAAGTTCCTACTTACAGATAAAAGACAGCAGTTGTACGTAAAAATGATCATCAGCCAAAGATGGCAAATGATGGCTTATTAAGCATTCTACCACAAGTCTAAAAACAAAGGAGGAAATTTCAGTTTCTCCTGATCATAGCTCAAATTTCTCTTTGCTATTTCAAAAGTCTGAAATTATGGTTCTTATTGATAATTTTATTATATGTGTGTGTGTGTGTGTGTGTGTGTGTGTGTGTAAGCCACTTTGAGGGTTCTTAAATATATACTCAAGTGGTGCATACATTTTATGAAATGAATATAAATTATATATTAAAATATTTCTTTATGTCTGCATGCAATGCTACCCAACCCAACAGGCTTTACTTTCTGATGAACAGCCTGTAAATAAAAATGTTTCTAGTTCTCAGTGACAGGAGTCTGGAAATATTGGCTGATAGGTGAACACAGATTAGGCAGCAACAAACTATTTTAACAACAGACAGTTTCACAAAAGGGCTTTGTGTGGGAACAAAAAGAGGAAGAAAGAATTAAAAGTTGTTTGACAGCAGAAGGTTATTTATAAAGCTCCTCCTATGCCTTGCACAGAGACTTCCGTTTAAAAACCTATTGTGACTTGAGACCCGGGGGGCGGTATGTGTGGAAACCACTTGCCACCTACAAGGCTGTAAATGAAACTCTTACCCATGAGCTACAGTAACGGAAAAGAAGTGTTACATAAGAAGCTTTTAAGGCAACCAAATGCCTGTGCAACATTTCTGCACAACATTGCAAGCTGCTGCACAGTCCTTGCCTTAAGGAGCAGCTTAGTTCTTCAAGGTAAGTGAGAACCAGACTATACCATATACAGATTATTTTTTCTTGTGTGTGCATTGGGCTATCTGCTGTGTGTCTCCGATGTACACGCTTTATGATGCTGCCTGTATAATTTCAATGAGGTGCAATCTAGAGTTGTAAGGATTTAGACCTACAGTCTAAACTGCAAATGAAACCAGTTTAACTGAAGAACTTGGGTGGAAATTAAATGCGTCTTATCTTATCGAGTTAAACTTACTCAATGGGTTAAGGCTTTCAATGGTTCTCAGAATGCTGATTACTTTACTGAAGTATGGCATCCATTTATAACCTCCTCAAATGAAAACAATGTCATCTTGGACCCACCGCATACACTTGGTTGGTTATGGAGCAATGAGCTTCATGGTTGAAGCTGTCTTGTCCTAACTGAACGGGGAGGGGGTAATTTGTTATTATTGAGTGGATTTAATTTTGTAGCATGCATTTACAAAAACAACAGATATTTCTGTGTCAAAAATATAACTGAAATTGAACTTAAACAATATACTAGGAGAAGGAAAGATCGAGGAACTATAATATGCTGCCTTCATAGATACTGTAATTGACCAAATCCACCCTTAATTTCATATAGATGTAATAGGTCACATACACAGCAATCGTTGACTAACTCTGTGCAGTAAGACATGCACGAAGATTTATTCTCTCCAATATTTTCCTGTTGTGCCTAAAAGCAGAGTAATAGTAGGTGTACAATACTATTGCATTTCTAGTCAGCGCCACACAAGCTGTGCAGACGATGTTTTTGAGTGTCCTTTCCTCTGCACACTCTTCCTATGCAGAGATCCATTATCTCTAGGAAGAGTAGCTGTAGGCAATGGGTGTGAATAGCTGGGCAACATCCCTCTAACTGTAAAAAAGGGGGGGAATGTTATAAAGAAATAGTTTAATAACCTGAAACTCCAAAATAAAAAGAGCAGAACTTCTCTGCTGTTATTCAGAAAGTTGTCAGGAACATTTTGTAATTCTCCTCCCCCTCACCCCCGCCACCAAGAAACCCCCATTGCTGTTTGGTTCTGTGCCTTTCTTAAATAGAATAAATAACCTCTCTTCTGTTTCCCTGAAACCACTGCCATTTTCTCTCTTAACTAACAGCCTTCCAACTTATACTTGAAGCATAATGTTCAACTGTTTCCTAAGCCCTGTAAACATCTGTAGGATGAAAGAGAACAAACAATCCGTTATGTATTCTCTGATGTCAAACTTTGTGGCACTTCTTGTTTCTTGCCATTTGTATATTAACATAAGCTGTGATCAGAATGATCACCTAAATTTCTATTTAAAGATGAACATGGAAGGATTTTGGCTATTGAGATACAATATCAAGGAGAGAAACTGCTGATATTAGGAATTTATGCGCCTAATGAAGGGAAATCGGAATTCTACAAGAAGTTGCAGGGGACAATGCTGGATCATCTGGATTACAACAACATCATAATGATGGGAGACATGAACGGGTCGTGTCAACTAACATGGACAAGTCGCAAAGTCAAAACATCACAAAAGATGGCAGACTACCTAAAACCTTTTTGAAATGACTGACAATATGGACTTGATCGACATTTGGAGAACAAAAAACCCACTAGGTAGAGAAGGAACATTCTTTTCTGAAGCCCAACTGACTTGGACAAGAATCGACCAAATATGGATCTCTAGAGGCCTGGCACCTAGGGTTAGAAAAGTGGAAATCTGCCCAAAGACCTGTTCTGACCACAATGCAGTAAAGATGGATATGACACTACTACCAACTGGATCCTTTAGATGGAAGATGAATGACAATTTGTTTAGAGATCAGGAAATTACCAAGAAGGCCCAAAAAGTTTTGAAAGATTATTTTGAGATAAATATGAACAATTCGGTGGAAAAAGAATCGTCTGGGACGCAAGCAAAGCTGTCATGAGGGGATTCCTGATACAACAGAATGTAGTAAAGAAAAAAACACAAAATGAGAAAAAAGACAAGATTTTGGATAAAATAAAAGAATTAGAGAAGAAATTAAGAGTGAATCCAAAGTCACAGCCAACTCTGAGAGAAATTAAACTGTATCAAACACAGTATTCTAAATTGATAAATCAGGAAATTGAATGGACGATCATATTAATGAAAGCACCAGCGTGTGAGTCGGCGAATAAATGTGGAAAACTGCTATCCTGGCAGTTGAAGAGAAGACAAAGATTAAACACGGTTACAAATTTAGAGGTTGATGGAAGAAACATTCAGAATCCAGTGGACATTAGAAAGTGTTTCCAGAGATATTTTAAAAATTATATACCCAAGGGCCGCAAGACGAAGTTGAGATTAAACAATTTTTGCCAAAAATGGATTATCTAAACTGTCACAAGAAAATAGGACAATCCTGAACTCTAAAATAACACGACAGGAGATTGAACAAGCTATTCAGAACATGCAACTTGGCAAATCTCCAGGGCCAGACGGGCTGACCTCCAAGTATTACAAGACACTAAAAGACTATTTGATACAACCTTTGATGGAGGTTAGCAATGAAATTATGGAGGGGAGAGGGCACCGGATTCGTGGAAGGAAGCGTTTATCACATTGATACCAAAGTCAGAAACTGAAAAGACACAACTGAAGAACTACCGTCCCATCTCCCTTTTAAATGTGGATTACAAAATATTTGCAGATATTTTGGCAAGTAGATTTAAAAAGTTTTAAATGAAGTAATTCATAAGGACCAGGCCGGTTTTCTCCCAGGTAGACATTTGTTTGCTAACACAAGGAACATCATTGATATTTTGGAACTTCTCCAAACTGACATAAATACAAAAGCTGTTTTAATTTTTATAGATGCGGAGAAGGCCTTTGATAATATTTCTTGGAAATTTATGATGGGAAACTTAAAAGAGATGGGAGTGGGACGGGGTTTTGAGAATGGGATTGAGGCGATATATTCAGAACAGAAAGCAAAACTGATAGTTAATAATGTGGTTACAGAAGAGTTCAAAATTGAAAAAGGGACACGACAAGGTTGCCCTATTTCCCCTTTGTTATTTATTTCGGTCCTGGAGGTGCTATTGAACATGATCAGAGGGGACCAGCTGGTGGAAGGAATTCAGGTTGGTCAGAAACAATATAAATTAAAAGCTTTTGCAGATGACCTGGTTTTGACCTTGCAGAAGCCAGAGCCTAGTACGAAAAGAGTATTACAATTGATTAATGATTTTGGTCGGGTGGCGGGATTTAAATTAAACAAACAGAAAACTAAGGTTTTGGGGAAAAATCTGACTGAGACAGAGTCAGAACGGTTTCAGAATGAGACGGAACTTAATGTGGTTAAAAAGTAAAATACCTAGGGGTAAACATAACAGCAAAAAATCTAAGTCTATTTAAGGATAATTATGAAAAATGTTGGACAGAAATTAAGAGAGACTTAGACAGTTGGTCAAAATTGAAACTTTCTTTGTTAGGCCGAATTGCTGCGATTAAGATGAATGTATTGCCAAGAATGTTGTTTTTATTTCAAACACTGCAGGTATTGGACAAAATGGGGTGCTTTCAGAAGTGGCAGAGAGACATTTCGAAGTTTGTCTGGCAGGGCAAAAAGCCCAGAATTAAGTTTAAGATACTAACCGATGCAAAACAAAGAGGGGCTTTGCCCTGCCGGACTTAAAGTTGTACTATGAAGCCGCAGCGTTCTGCTGGCTAAAAGACTGGCTACTTCTTGAAGACACTGATGTGTTAGATTTGGAGGGGTTTAACAATGTTTTTGGATGGCATGCATATTTATGGTATGACAAAGTTAAAGCAAATAAGGCCTTTAAGAACCATATTGTTAGAAAATCACTGTTTAATGTCTGGACAAAATATAAAGACTTGCTGGAAAATAAAACACCAAGGTGGCTTTCACCTTTGGAAGCTAAGGCCCGAAAAGACCCAATATGGAGGCCAAATGGCCAAAATATTGGGAAATACTAGAAAAGATGGAGACAATTGGAAATTGCAGAGCTTGGAGAAAATGAAAGACAAAGTGCGAGATTGGTTACACTATGCTCAGATTAAAGAAGTTTTTAAAAGTGATAAGAAACTAGGGTTCCAGGTGGAGAAATCGAAATTAGAAACAGAATTGTTAGAACCAAAGACTAAGATACTTTCAAGGATGTATAACTTGCTGTTGGAATGGAATACACAAGATGAAATGGTTAAATCGGCTATGATAAGGTGGGCACAGGATATTGGGTATAATATTATGTTTGAGGACTGGGAAAGGCTGTGGAGTAATGGATTGAAATTTACTGCATGTAATGCTTTGAAAGAAAATGTAATGAAAATGATTTATAGATGGTATATGACCCCAGTCAAACTCGCAAAAATTTACCACCTGTCTGATAACAAGTGCTGGAAATGCAAAGAGTGTGAAGGAACGTTCTTTCACCTCTGGTGGACATGCCCTAAAGTGAAGGCGTTCTGGGAAATGATTTATAATGAATTGAAAAAGGTATTTAAATATACTTTCACTAAGAAACCAGAGGCTTTCCTTTTGGGTATTGTCAGCCAAGGGGTGGCAAAGAAGGACCAGACATTTTTATGTACGCAACAACAGCAGCAAGGATACTACTCGCAAAACATTGGAAAACCCAAGATCTACCCACACTGGAAGAATGGCAGATGCAACTGATAGACTATATGCAACTGGCTGAAATGACTGGCAGAATCCGTGACCTGGGAGAAGAGAGAATCGAGGAGGATTGGAAGAAATTTAAGAACTACCTACAAAAACATTGTGATTTGATTGAATGCTGAATAAGATGCTGGACTAAATAACTGAGCACCACTTAACTTAGAAATTTTTAAGGAAACAAGAAAAATTGTGAAAGTTTAACTCTTTATGAGAACTTTAAGATTATGAAATATCGAAGAGATATAAGAATTTAAATAAGATGATAAATTGCTGACAAAATGTTATAATGATGAAGGTGGGAGCGGGAGATGTGAGGAAGTCCAAAGAAAATGTGAAAATATGTTAAGACGAATGCTATATTGTTTATTACATTTATTCTTATTGTAAAACCCAATAAACTGCTTTAAAAAAAAAAAAAAAAAAAAAAAAATATCAGAATGAGAAAGAAAAGTAAGTATGTGGGTAGGTATTCTCAGATAATATGCAGCCTACTCGCCTCCGACATTACTTTCCTCGGCTTTTTCTACTTTCCTTTTTTCTAGATCCATAGAACCTTTCAGGGCAAGGGCTGTAGTTCAGTGATAGAGCACATGCTTTGCCATGCTAAACTTCTATGATTTTCCTTTTTAAGGGGGCTGCAAATGCTTCCCCCCTCCCAGAATCAAATGAGCACTAAACTTGTGCTCCATTACATTCCATTAGTTTTCAAAAAGTGGCTTGTGAAAGCTCAAATTTAATGTGCAAAATAACAAGGAAATGTCAGGAAATCAGAATCAGCTGCAGTATGAATGCAGGCAAAGCTTCACAAACCCCATCCCACTCTGGAATTAGCGTGCATTTAATGACCTAGAATTTATCCCAATCTGGCTGATGTTTCTTATCTCCCTAGTAGCTGGTAATGGTTCCAGTTGTACTTTACACACTTATGTCACTTGCTGTTTGCTTCTGTTATACCATTTCCTTACCTGCCACATTGTGCTTCATGCTAGCTCTTTCTCTTTTCCAGTTCTAGAGGATGTTATCAGAAGGGTACCTCTGTATAATTCCTTATCATGATCTCATGAATTACAAAATCGCTTGCAACCAAGGAGAAGAGACAGTACATGAGATGAGGTCTTTGAATGGCATCACCTATGAATCAACAGAGGAAACACAGGACAGAAATCTCTTTTGGAGATGTAAGTCTGTTGGCAAGTTCATCTTCTCTGTTTGTTCCAATGAAAACAGAAACAATAGAAGGCAGATGGATACACAGACTCCAAATCCAGTATTGGAAAGGCAAATATCTCCAGCTGTGGAAATCTGTACAGGACCTGCTATCAACAGAGACACTTACCTAGTTCCACCTTCTTGTAAAAGCATTTGCAAGAATTACAATGACCTGCATATTGCTGGTGACCAGGTACTGCCTATGAGTTCAGTTAAAACAGATTTTACCTATGACAGTGGGATAGGTCCATTCCTGGAGTCATCAGAGATCCCACCACCAATGGAATCCATATCAATGCCACCTGCTGAGGTCCCTCGCAAGCCAACCAATAGGTATTCTTCATGCTGGAGAGTGGCCAGCATCATGCAACACCAGCAACCCCTCTCAAATTCACTACTGAATAACTACTTGGAGGAGAAGGTGGTGGAGCTGTACAAGCAGTATATCATGGATGGCATGGGTAGCAGTTCATCCCCTACTCAGATCTTGGCATCAGAATTCATAATGACCAATGTAGATCAAATCAGCATGAAGCTATCACAAGAAAGGAACATGAAGACCACCCAAGCCAAGGATATGGTTATTAACTGCCTATTGCGACTAGCCAGTGGGAAAATCTCCACTGAAATGAGCACTCCTAGTCTTCACATTTCCCAGTTTAGCACTGTGACTAAATAAATAAAGCCTGCACCTAGACATTTCTGAGTCACCTTTGTTAAAAGTCAGTTTCGTTTCAGTAAGGTGAAGTCCCTTGGATATGGTCAGAGCACCAAATACTAACTATTATATAGGCGAACTCCTGGAAGAAGGCTTGGTTTGTAAACCATACAGAAACCTTAGATGCCTCCCCCTCCCCAATGTAAATGATTCATGCTTCCTTCCAATAATCCTACTTCCACATTTCCACATTTTATTAACCCAAATGTGGTTGTTGTCCCATTGCATCACACTGTTTTGTATCCTAATGAGAAGGAACATTGGCCCTGTTGCCTTGGCAATGGGGACCATTTTGTGTCCACCTCCCCTCACCAAGCAGCAGCAGGTTGGAGGAATAGTGGCTTCAAACAGGCATGAAGAAGAGAGTTGTTTCCCCATTGGAAGATTTTGCAATTAAAAATTAAACCTCATGGGAATTCAGCACAGTACTAATTCTAAATATCCCTTTCAGTGTATAATTATTTTCCTCCCTTCACAATACCTTGAGCCTCCAAGTGCATTTCTACCCCCTTCTTGGTTTTAATGTATCTATGTGGTATTTTTGTCTGTCTGCTTGGGTGGCTTTGGTTTGCCCTGGGCAATATAAAATGACTAACAAATTTAATAAACCAACCAACAAACAAATAAACCATTGTGTAGATGACTGTGTGTCTGCCCAGGTGGTATAGGACTGCATGACACCTTTATCCCAGTGCCTACTCTGTCCTTGCTTCTCCCATCACACTTTGAGAACTCCAGAAATTGCCAGAGGGTCCTACAGAGCATCTGTGGACCCTGATTGCTTGAACTCCTGATTCTGCCTGAGACAGCTTTTCCAAAAATGATGGCATTCCCTTGCCCACTCTCTTGTTTACATTCCTATTACTTGTATTCTCTCCCCCTGTTTCCCTGTGGAATTCCTGGTCCCTCGTGTTCCTTAGCCACTCTTCCTTATTGCAACTAAAGCGAACATATGTCTAATTGAAATGACCACATATTGTCCCCTTGCCTCCCTACCTCTACCTCCTTTTCTCTTCCATTTTAGACCATAAGCTCTCCCCACCCCACTGTGTCATATCTGATGATAAGGACTGGTGGTAACTGGTTTGACTTGACTTGAAACTTTGCATTGCACAGGGTATCAATTGTCATAGGTCTTTGCCACTTGAACAAAAAGAGAAACTTGATTAGTTTTCATTTTTTATTATGTCATCAACAAATAAACTCTTATCACTAGTGGTCCAGTGAATGGAATGAAAATGTGGTTGCGTTGAAGCTCAGATAGTTATGACCAATAAAAATAAAGATGTTTTGTCTCAATATTTTTCTCAGTGAGTTTAGTCAGTTGTTGAGCAGCCCTGCAACAATGGAAAGCCATACGACAAGGAAATGATACTATGGCCAAGTATGTTAAAAGCAGACCTCCCCCCCCCACCCAATTTTGCAGTGATACTTTCAATTTCCTGTAATTTACTTTTTCTTCCCTACAGTTAGAAGTCTGTGCCATAACACTCAACCCACACTTATTCCTACTCTCACAGATCTAATGCGCAATTGCAGATTCTTTCTAAAGGGTTGCTATGGATCCAGCCATAATTCAGAAAGGGAGCCGAGGCTCTTCTGAAGGTCTGGAAAATAGAACTGTCATATGTATGTATACACTAACTTGGCATTGTATCCTCAATTTTGTGCTTTGCATTTATAACGTAAAAATGAACACCTGCACACCCCACAGTTTCTGCCCCATTTGTGGCAGGGCTGAGGATGCCATTGTAGCCATTCAGCACAATGGAGCAGCAGGAGCCAGGGTTAGGATTGCCTCCTAAGCATATGAACATATTTGGTGGCAATTAATTTTGTCCTTAACCAGTTTTTGTTGTTTTCATTGAATTGAACAAATAACTGAAATGTAACAGAATGTGAATTCCAAAGACAGCACTTCAAAGCTGGGGAAAACCCAGCACCTCTGCTTTATAAACCATTTGCAGCAGTTACTAGTCAGGGTTACAAAGATCACAGCTTGCTCTCTGTTTCACTTTCACAACTTCAGAATTACCTTATTTCACTCTCTTTGCAAAGCTGCACTAGAAGTATACAAATGTGTGAAGAACTTCATTGCCTTGTATAGGGGAAGGACTGAGTTATCCCCATAATATATATTTTAAAATTCATATTTACTGGGTAATAGAACATTTTCTTTTTAACTTGTTACTTAGACTGAGCTGGCAAATTCCTGTGGGTAGAGAAGCTCTAATACCCATTCGCTCCACTTTTTGTGGACTTTCTGCATGTGCCTTTTTTGCAGCTGTTGTTTCCTTATCTGTCAATGGGAGTGGGAAGAGAAAAATCTTTGCTGTTGAAAGCAACTGTGCAGTTGTTCCCCTCTATAGATGTGCACACCCTTTGGAAGCAATGCAGATGAATAATGTTTGCATTCATATATCCTTGCATAGATCTCTCATATGCAAGGATAGTCCCCATTTAAGTGAAGAAAGTTGATCTCTGTGTGCACCCCTTTGTGAAGGTGGATTAAAGCAAATGAAGCAGCTCATGTCATGGTTCCTTTATCGGATACTGTAAGACAAAAACAATAGGTGGCAATGCTCTTTTTCCATTTATGCAAGGATTTACACTTGCGCAGTGGAACTTTCCCCTCTCCGTTTGGGTTCCCAGATGTGAACCAGGATTTACAGATGTGGACACACAAATGTTTAAAGGTGAGTGTACATGCATTAATTACTTCACTATTTTGTATATTTGCTGTGGAAAACACTGGCAGGTAACACCTGTTCCCCATAGCAATCACCATGTGCAATAGCTAATGTTGCGTTGTGTTGTAGGCAACTATTTTCTAAGAGTAGACCCACTATTTTCTAAGATCCACTGAAATCAATGATCCTTAGTTAGTCATGTTCTTTTATTTCTATGGGTTTACTCTGGGTAAAAATTAGTTGACTACTGAGGTTGTAGAAATTTAAGTGGCAGGCCATGTGTGCATCTTTTGCACAAATATGTAGCAAAAATTTGCACCCTTAGTGTTTTTTATATGTGGGGAGTCGTATTTCAAATATTTGTAAGTGGTGTACTTCAAAGCTTGTTGTCGGGTGTGGTATACTTTAAAGCTTAAAAAAAAGAATTCTGAGCGCAGGAATCTGGGAAGTTAAGTGTGGTTTCATCTCACAGAAATTGAAACTTGTCAAACACTTCAGTTTTCCAAGTATCTACATTCTTGGCTTAGGTATGTGAAGAACAGGTGGTGTGTAGCTCATAGAAATAGCTTCATGCACACACTTTTGAAATAGCAAATAATGATATATGGCCCCTATTCTGAAGTGAACACAGCTACCAGGGGGAAAAATATTTCTACATTACAGATGTTCAGTGATCTTAATTCAAGGAAATTCCAGATGGAACCCGGGACACACAGATTACTTATGAAGTGTTACTGAATCTTTGATAATCAATATATATTCTAGAAAACATGGTGAGATAAAAATGTGAAGTGATGTAATCATATTCATGAAAAGAAGTTGAAACCATGAATATTTTGCATGCCTCTATTTTTCAGTACATTATTTTTAAGGCAGGGCCAAATTATTTCCTAATGCTTTTATCTCTTGTCTCAAGTGTTTGTCTAACAGGCAATGAATTGATGACAGCCTCTATTAAATACATTACAAGAGTCATTACACCACTGATGCATGTAAAGGAACCTATAAGTGTTTAAAGACTAACAGAAATTGTTAGAAGATAAGACAGGTTTAGCTTCTGTTCCATTTACATTTCAATTGGCATGAGCTGTGGGGGGTTTTCATTGACCACGTGGCTGCATTCAAATCATAAAGATCAATGGCATACAAGAAAAGTCATTGATCTTTGTTCCATTTCAATGTATTCAGATAACCTCTAAAATTTAAAATCTTGACAACAGAACAGTGCTATGTCAGGTGCCCTGGAGCATTATGGAAAATTTAAAATGGCATGCCCATATCCTGTTGAGGGGGTCCGACCCAGGGCAGGCATCAGCACTGATGGGTCCTACCTGGTTGCAGAAGCCAAAGCAGCTTCTCACAGGTGCCAGATGCTGATGCTGAGCCTGTTAAGAAACACACATTTGCAGTTCTATGCATGCTAAGTCCCACTGAATTCAGTGGTGATTTTTTTTGCAAGGGACAGAACAATCCAAACAAGGTGGTTTTTTTTCATTGAGTGGAGTCATCCCTTTCTCCAACTTTGCCTGCTATACAAGGCTTCTGCTGAATGTGGGTAGGTCACTGATGAGATCAGCATCCATGGTAGCCAGTGAAAAGTCCCAAAACCGGGCAATGCAAGGTGGGGAGAGGATGAGTTGCCCCCAGGATCCATTGGGTCCTAGACTGGTTTCACTGCCATTGTGCAACAGAATCGGGCCCAATCTGGGCTGAATTCTTGCTCCAGATCTGATACCCTCTCCCCCTGCTCTTGTTTCACCCCGACCACTGTGTGCAGCAGGGCTACAGATCCAGCCATGGTCCTGCTGCTCTGTAAAACCCTGCTGACAAGGGAAAGAGGATATTTTGATTATGCCCTTAGTGTGCATAGTATTTCAGCCTAAAAATAAATCTTTCAGTTATATAGGTCCCAGTTCTGTTATCCCAGCACATCCCTTGCTCATGTTAAGTAGCACTTTACTCTGCATGTTATATCTGGTTGTAACATTACATTCATGTACTCGTATCTCTATTCTCTGACTCTGCAAATACCCTAAAAGGTACTTAGGAAATAATTATTCCTAGCTTGTTTGCTTCTATGGATAGGATAGCCAGTGAGAGTGAGAAAGTGCCACTTTTAAAGAGTAATTTAGCATAAGAACAGGAACAATCCTGGGCTAATAGAATTCCTGTGGTAAATAATTAACCTGTTGTTTACTCTGAGGGTGGATAAATGATACTTTTAAAAAGGGAAATTCTAACCTATTCAAATTATTTTCTGTTCAGCAATTTAATTTATTAGTGCCTGTTTTCTTCTAAAATAAAATGTGGAGTGATGAGGGGAATACCAACAAGGTCTGTGGGTTTGGTACGTGCCAGCAGCCACCTGTGTATTTTGTCATAAACGATGAGGAGGCACTTCCTCAAGTGACCAGAAATGGAAGTGATAATTTTGACTGATAGGGAAGTAGAGCTTTAGCACAGAAATGATTCTCACTCAATCTGAAATTTCTCTAAGTGTCACTGTTAGGACCTATTTACTAATGGCAGTTGCACCTGGAATGGGGCACAGGTGCAGCTACTTTGATTATTCTGCCTCACTGCCCACAGACTTGAAGAAAGGAAGATAGAAGAGGCTTCTGACAAGCAAGTGAGTATTTCTGTTAGAGCAACTTGACTGCATTTACAGAGAGCTGTGGCTCTGTGGAATTTTATGCCCTCCAGATGTTGTTTTGCTCCATCTCCCAGCCCCAGTAGGCATGGCTTACAATGTACATTTCTGGAGAAGGACAGGTCTTTTTACAGAACTTCATTTCATTTAAAACAGTATCATGTCACTTTAAATAGTCAAGGCTTCCACCAAAGTATCCTGGGAACTGAAGTTTGCTAAGGGTGCTGAGAGCTGTTAGAGGACCCCTATTCCCTTTACAGATCTAGAATTACATGCCCATTTCTCTGATAAAAATAGGGACACCCTATTCCATAATAATAATTTTACTATTTACACTGTGCAGTCAGAGTTGCTCCAGTTGGGTAGCTTCCAACATATATAAAACATTAAACATTAAACAAACTTCCCTATACAGGGCTATCTTCAGATGGCTTGGGGGTAGGATAACTCTATACCCTCGCAACATTTCTCCAGTGAAAATAGGGATGTCCTAAGGGAAAGCAGGACATTCTGGGATCAAATTAGAAACTGGGACGGCTTCTGTAAATCTGGGACTGTCCCTGGAAAATAGGGACACTTGGAGGGTCTGGAATTACAGCTCAGAGTTCCCTGGGAAGGCAGATTAAACCACTCTGGGAACCTTCTCAGATTAAACCACGCTGAATGAAACTTTCATTTTGGCAGAAACTACCGGAACGTTTAACAGAAACAAAACAGCTGTTTTAGATGTTAATCATTTCCTTAGCTATTGTTTCCTCTGTCTCAGGAGTTAGATAAAATTCGTGCTGGTTGCATGAGCAGATCAATGAATATTCTAGTGAATGGAAAAGTACTGAAATTTCAGTCTCATGTGAGACTCCAAACTGAACGATCACAGAAGGAAAGTGATTATTTTTTGTCAAATCATTTTACTTTCTTGATGCCACAGT